ATGGTTTACCTGCTAAACCAAATATCTCAACCATACTGTAACTCTTCCCCAATATATGTAAAACGAAAGCAACACCGTTTCCAGCGGACTAGCATCCAATTTTATCTGAAACGAGAATATTCCTCTGCAAATCACAGCACACTCTCCTTGCTTCCTGCTAGACAATTTCTATTAATATTATTAAACTAGGTTATCCGATTACTTCGCCCAGTACTTACTCGTCGATTCATTTACAAAATTTTACTGTCCTCGTTCTCTTCTCAAACATCTTCCACGCACCATATGAACCCAATCAATGAAAGAAACCACACTAAACGTCTCGATCCTTCCGACTAACACTAATGAAAACATAATGGAATTAAAGCCGATTCTAAAAGATGTAGATCCAAAGGAATATTTACTCTAAAGCATAAACAACTATAATGACATACATCATAATTTTTTAATACAAACAAAATAATTATGAAGTCAAATACATTTATCTGGCAAAATGTGAATAACCTCGAGCATTCGACAATTTCTAGACACAAAACAGTTAACTCATTATACAACAAAATAATAAACAGGAGTAAAAAAGATAACTTTATCTTCAGTCTAAAACAGCTGTATAAAATGCAGCAACGAACGCATGGCAAAAAATCGCAGTTGGACACAACAACCTCTGGAATAGCTTACACCATCCCGGAAGCACCCTCATCCTTATCTTTCTCTTATATACTCTAGTAATAACACCAAAAACCGTGACCATATTCATATTTATCTGGCGACAATCCTCGAACACGCATAAATGGAAACCAGACTATTTCGTGACTTTTACATTACTCTGTACCGATAACACCCAACCACACAGAATACCATTGAGCACTATTCGTTGAAATAGTCCTTTACAATAACCATTTCAGCTATTATCATCCCCATCAACAACTGTGCGTCATTAGCTGCAACTATCTAATTAACCTACTCTGACCGACATAATAATTTTTAATTAAGTGCCTCTAATTCGTTCCCTTTATGTAATCATTCTGCGACAAAGAAATCATCCTTCTGTCCTTACACTACAATTACCGAGACCTAAATAAAGCCCTACAATAAATCCAAGCACTACCATACTATGTTTATGTTACTCTCTCCCTATACATAACGCTGTTCATCTTACACATCCATCAATCAAAATAACAGTGTGAACACAGAATTTACGACATCTGCTGACTGTGTACAATAACACGTTTATGAAATTCGAACGTCTCATAATACCCGATGTACAGAACATAACACATCTCTCCGCGCGGTAAAAAAACCAAAGTGTTGGTTGACTGACCCACAATAACCATTCTCGAATAAACATTCACTAGATATGCAACAACACAATGTCATTTCAAGAAATGTTATTCACCCAAAACCACTTTAACCTACTAATATACCGGGTGAAAACTACATCACCACTCATTCTGCTTTAGATAAGTAGCCATCGAAATACATCGAGTATTACGGGATATTTTCATTTATAGGCAAAACACACACTTATAACAAGTCAGGCAAATAAGCGCCTTCGTAAACTGTTTTCTCTGCCTGTACAGCCGGCCTTACGATATCTGCAGAGTACGCAGTAAGCACATATAAACAAGCAAAACACCGACGCGTTACGCGACAACGGGCAACGAACGCAGCTCTTTCACATCATCCACGACCCGGGCGCCCCTCGCTCGCGTCCCGGTCCCGGACGACGAGTAAATCATCCGAGCCGCTCCTCAGCGACCCTTCGGGGCGTCCCGCAGTCAGCCTCGCGGGCGCAGCGCGCTGCGCGCGGATTTGCGGGTTATCATCGCCGCCGGCGGCGAGCGACGGGCGGGCGCGCTGCGGCGGCCGGCGGCCGGGCCGCGGGCGGCGGCGCGGCGGGCGGGCGGGCGCGCTCAGCGGGCGGCGGGGGCAGTCGGGGCAGTCGAGGCGTGCGCCTCGAGCGGCCCGGCGGGCCGGGTGCCGGCGGGCCGGGGCCCGCGGCGGCGCGGGCGCCGGCGCGTGGCCGGCGTGCGCGATGCGAGCGGGGCGGCGGACGGCCGACGGGTTCCGCGCGTCCGCGAGTAGCACGCGGCGCGTCGCGGGCAGGACGCGGCGGCTGCTCCGGCGGCGCGGGGCCTCCCGAGGCCGCCTGCGCACGCGGAAGGACGCGCCGGCGCTTCGCAGGAGGTCGCCGCTCGAAACCAGGTCTTGATGAACACTAGAGATGCACCGCACGTAGCACATCATCTCGTTCTTCCCCATTGTCGGCATCGTGATTGATTGACTACACGTGATTCCCGGAGCGTCATCTGCGTAAGTCATTAGTTCCGTAAATGCAGTGCATTTTCGTTCTCGGGAAGTGGCGGTGACGCAAAATATTTGGCCTATGCAATAAGTATTTCAACTAAAATAAGCAAAACGTTCTTGTTCATTTTTAATTTTCCTGATATCTTGAATTAATAAAGAATTGAAAGACATTTTGCAGCCTAGCAGTTGAATTGTTCTCTCTAAACGTTATCTCATTACCGAAATTATAATCATAATAGTTTTAAAATAATGGCTGTCGATAGTGGATCCTTGAGGTACATCTGCTTTGATGGTGGAAAGTGCCCAGAGACTTCCAGATTGACGCACAGGAAATGGTGCGCTTGGTAAGAACACTTTCTGTGATGCTTGAGATATAAAGAGGAGTACCGATGCTGCAGAGTTTAAAAATTAATGCTAAGTGCCAATCGATATCGAAGACTTTAGCTATATCTAGAAAGACTGCTGCTGTGTGCTTGTGCACCTACTACAACACACACTAATCGGACACAACCTACACAAACTAATTGGATAATAGCTAGCGCACGTGCACCTACCCCGATAATCAAGGCTGAGCCCCTCTGGAATGCACATATCGCTTGGCCCCATGATGGCCGATTCGAGAAAGAAAATAATAATAGTAATAATAATAATAATAATAATAATAATAATAATAATAATAATGTAACATGTGTTCTTTAATTAAACAATATATTCTGAGTGAATTAACGGACGATACACTTCTATGTTTATTCAATTCAATTATTCTTGTAAGTTACAAAATCGTCTTCTCGCACTTAAAACGAGATTCATAAAATGTTAGGATAAATCCAGAGTTTTTCAATGAGAAAATAGTGAAATTAAAGGTTGTTTGTTTCCCAGAACGCGGTCTCTAACTCCGTTGAGACACGAACCGTGCATCGGACGATTGAAAGGAAAGCAAGGATGTGAACGAACTTTTACAATTTTTTGAGAGCGAAATGTTAGAGACCGCGAGTCCTCGTTTTACTCGTAAAGAGACCAGGATGGACGTGATGGAACTTCGGAGAAATTTTAAGTAACTTTGGAGAAATTTTAACTCGAAAACGCAACACCAAATATGTTTTGAAATATTACTTTGTTTTTTTCAACTCAGAGAATTATTAATTATTAATTCCGCCCTTTGTCTCTGTACAGTATTTGAGTAACTCCGAGTGTGCATGAGTGCGGTTCCATCACACACGGTTAGACCACTTCCCGCGCACCAACTGAGGCATATGAGGTGTCATCCGACGCGTCTAGGGCTCCTGGTGGTGAAATAATAATTGGCTTCCGGATCCGGCCAGAAAATTCTAAGAAATTTCCAAATAGGCGTTTTTGCGTATTTTAGCACTGTCATGTGAGTGAGTATGCAGCGAATTAAACCAACGCCACCAAAATAGATCTACATAGGTGGCTTTGATTGCGGAAAGGGAATCTCCGTAACATATTTGTAAAAATTATATTGCAAAAGCCTACGCAGAGTATGGCCTTGGAACTTGTTGAACTTGAACTTCGAGTAATTACGTAGAAAACCGAACTGTACAGCCACAGACGCACATTTAAGTTCTTACGTTCGACTTCTCACATTTACATTCTTAAACGAGCAAATACCGATTTTCAAATGAATGTGACTAACAGCTTGTTTATATAAATATGTAAAGCAGTCGCCTTTTAATGTTTAAAGAGATTCACCTACAAATCGATAAATAGAGCAATTGTAAAAGTAGAAGTGAGCACATTAGATTGATTTTGTGGAATTCTAATCTCTTCAAAAATTAGGGGACAAAATTACAGGAGTGTTAAGCATATCCGGGGAAGAATAAAACTTAGTTGTAGAAAATTTGACACAGGATTTTAGGAACTAATTGAGAAAAATCTTATTACAGAATAACGCTGAAGACCAGCTTTCTGATGATTTTTTGTACATTTTTGTGTTTATTAGTAAAAAACACTAAAAAATGTTACTGTACTAAATTCTAACTATTTAGCGTCATTCATACCTCCAAATATAGTTTAAGGCATTTATAGTTTTGTAATTGCAATATTACCAGTTTATAACCTCTGTGGAGGTAACATTTAACGCCATTGGATGTCGGAAATTTTTGAACAAGAGAAAAACATTATTAGCTACTACAATTCATTGGTATGTCCAACGCTAGAGGCATTAAGAACTTATTTGAACAAATCTATGCATGACTTAAATTTTCAGCACATGAAAATATTTTTAAAACTGAATACAGGGTCAGCGACGCCACAGTTAGCTACTAATATAATTATCAACTTAAGGGGGAACAAAAGGACGTATGTTGCTAATGTTGAAATCTGCTATATTTAGGGAACATTTTCTCAGAAAATATCGAAGTTACATTAATATATTTTTACAGGTTATAGAGACATATTTATTTAATTATAAATACAGCCTTAGTTGTTAACCTGACGGTATTTTGGAGGAAAAGTAGTCAATTTGCACAATATATTTTTTTATTTATTATTTAATTTTTAAATGCATTTTTGTATTTCTTACTAGTTACTACATTTTAAATTGCACACAACCTATCTAAAATGGCATCAGCATTTGGGCAGTATTTGTATCAATATATCTTCAAAATTTCATTACATGACTATGACTCCGAGCTGAGAAAATGTTCCTTAAGTACCTACTAAAAAAGTAAACTTACGAGAATACAGCTTCAAAGTTGACCAATCAAAATAATCCAGTACTGAAGCTTGGGCCATCAGCATCAACTTCATTTTGCGTTTCTATTTTCTCTCAATGCCCTGCCCTAATGTCCATATCATTCTTGTTTATACACAATGATTATTCTGCTGCTTCCTTCATGCTCGTCATAGCAAAATCTTCAGTAGAAAGGTTGATATTTATTTTCATAACTGTAGCAAGCCCTTGTTTACATTTAAATCTAACTATCTTGAGGCACATTATTTGCAGAACAATTTCTTTTATAATAGCGGATAATATCGACATATCTGTGATTTCGTATTGTTCACTACCCGTCACTATTTCTTCATAATTACTGTTCGCATCCAGTAATTTCTTCTGAGAAGAATTCGCAGTTGCAATACTGTTGAGGTTAGATGGATGCGGCATTGAATCGCATTTTTCCACATTTTCCCCAATGTTCTTCCTGATTTGCCAATGTTTTTTTGCACACGTTTTTTGAAGATTGTTACTCGATCGTGGCAATTTTGTCATTCAAAGCTCCTTACTGAGAAAAACACACACTATAACACCTTATAAGAAACGCACTTCACACATCAAACAACAACAAACAAATGAGTTACTAAATACGCTGCAGAGGCGCCAAATTGATGCAGATTCTCCACCAGATGTCGCCAGCAGATGAAAACAAGTGCGTGTTTCACTAGCGGAAAATTTGAAAGCGGATATCGAACGAGAAAATGTACTTTATTGTCAAACTTTGATAGCTAACCATATTGATTTAAAAGCTGATTGCTGGCAAAGATATTACAGAAGCTGGGTACGTGTGACATGAAGTATTTTGTCCTAAAGATTTAATTAATGATGGCGGAAGATATTCTAATATATATTTCTCTAATTTGGTCGTGATTTCGCCGATGACTAATGATACCTAGAGAGCTGGTTTTACAAGGAAAGTGTCAATGTATGTGACTAACTTTTCAACTTGTACTACTCATAGAATAAATATGTGTGTATTGCATTAGCCCGTATGTATTCGCGCATAATTTTGATATCAAACCTTAGTAAGTGAAATAATCGCATTACCTAACTTATTTTGACGATAGATGCATGTTACTTCCACAACGCTGTAAGAACAAAGGTTGACGTTCAAATTTTGATTCAATAACAAACGAACTTCAGCCATTGAATACTAATACAATACTGGGCTTCTTATCTGAAAGAATTGTATTGAACTTATGGAACTGTGAAGTTAAGGTAAAAATTAAGGTACAAACTAGTCGTGCTACGACAGCACACACGTGATAGTATTGCCATTAGATCTTTAACGTTTGCAATTTTCGAAAATTCAGTGTATTCGACGTAAATATAATCTGCATCATTTGCATTGCTCTGTTCCTGTACATTGCTCTGTTCGATGAAAGAAATAAAGTAAAAACTTTGAGCCGTTTTTGAGAAAATATTTTTTTAATTGCCTACACATCATGCAAAAATTAAGCGAAAACCACTCGTATATTTACAAAAATTGTAGATTATGTTATTTTAATATCTATTAGAACAGATTTCTTTAAGAAATACAGTCTATCATAAATATTGTAGTTTTGCACTGTTAATTTTTTACAATTTTTGAAAATACAGAGAGTTAGGCCCTGCGCCACATTTATAGGAGTTCTTTGTTGAATTCGAGATTTTTTTTGAAAATTTGGAGCCGTTTTTGAGAAGAAATATTTTTATTACCTATATTTTAGGCACAATTCCGCAAAAGAAGTAACACTTTCGGAAAATTGTTATAAACAGTGACCAACATTGAGCGACGGAGCAACGGATGGATGGGCGGACCAACGATCGAACGGATGGACGGACGAACAAACGGACAGACAGACGGAGGCTATGCGATTACTACACAGATGTAGGAACAAGACTGAACCACCTTTTAGACATCAGAACCCCACAACACGACTTTTTCATACGAAAAATAACTTAACGCTGCAGCATAACAATGGTCGTTCTTTACTTCTTAAGTACGATGTAGGCGAGGAAGTAAAAATATCTCTTGACCTTAGGATATCACTTTTCCAAATTTTACGTTGGGAAACCAGGAACGCTCTGCCAACCATTTTGCAACACCTTAATTCAATCTTGTTAAAATGTTATTAAATCTTGAGTCATATCTTGATTAAATTATCTCAAGAAAATGTGAAAAATCTATTGTAGTATTATAAACTTATAGTTTTTTATACATTTCTTTGGAAGACAAAATTTCTCGAAAGTAGCATGCAAATTAGATTTGCTGTTTCTTCTGTTGAGTCTATTCTGTGGGTGGAGAATTGGCGATCGATAGGTTCCAGGTAGCATATGTTTGGAGCAACTTTCCAAACACCTGTCAGCAATCAGGTAAGTGATAGAATTTGAGTGATAAAGAGTTCAGGAAGAAAACATAGCAAAACATGTTATTTTCCTGTTTTTTTCTGAAATAGTTTCCCTTTTGTCGGTAGAGTTCCCTTTATCAAACGTTCACACACTCACTCGAGCTTTCAGGATACCAAAAACACCACTCACCGTAATAAAATTACTGCCTATCTAAGTGGTCGACGCCCTATCAATTGTTTACACACAACGTGAAAGATAAATGACGGTAAGGGATATCTAGGGAATATGTACACGAAAAACGTTTCTGCAGTGTATTTTTACCACTTGGAAATGACCACCTTTACATGATAGTAAGGTATGAGGTGATACGATAAACATGTTTTAGTTCTTAACGTCTTGAAATAGCTACTTATTAAAACTAAAAACACTTGTTTCAAATAAATTAAATTAACTTTGTACTTCATTAACAAAATAAATAAAAATATTTCCAGAGTTGCTGGTAAGCTAAAAATTGATAAAAATAAAAAAGTCAATATTGAAAAAGGAAAAAAGTTCTTACTATTATAAATACAATAATTAGAAATCATTAAGAAATTGAATGAACATGTTTGATTGCAAAACAAAGCAAAATTATTACAATAAATGTTCTTTATCAAACATATATGTATATGTTTATCTAAAAATTCAAATTAATTCAGAAAAATTAAATGATTTTTATATTTTTGCTTCAAAAATAAATTTCAGTTTCTGTCATCATTACCGCAAATCAAAAGATTTATATAGCAGTGAATTGTGTTGAACTGTTTGTAGGTAGAACCGCTACTTTTCTAATCAAGACGGCAGGAACTATTTCAAAGGTTCCAAATGCCTTTGAATAGTACTGCACAAAAAGACTAATTTTGAATTTTGTATGAACTAATAATGAAGCTTCAGCTACAGTCAGAGAAGCACGCTTTTTATATTGAATGCTATCGGGGAAGAGTCAACCGACGCCCAGAAGAACAATCCATCGCCCTGAGCGAACACAACCACCGCCCCGAGTCGTCCCCCAGGCAAAGCCCCCCCTCCCGCACCCCCCCTCCCCCCCCCGTTCCGGAGCACCCAAGTGCAGCATATTACCGCCGTCCAAGACGTCCTTCCCACACTTTGCATCTCAAACCGCTATTAATTACTGCGCCATACTAATCTGAAGGCAAACCGCGCTCATGCGGCATTAGTCACACAACCTTAGTCATGCTGCGTAACTGTTCGGGACGAAGCGACGGCGACAAAAAGCAGAAGAGAAAGATGTAAGACCGGGGAAAGAATGGGGTTCTCGTGGTTGAAGGGCGCGGGTTCGCAATGAGAACCGCCGGCGCCTTGAGCCGCGTCGGCGCTGACGGCGGCGCCCACGCGCCGAAGGAGTTATGCAAAAGGGCCTGCCGCGAGACTGAGGTCGGTCACAGTGGGTGATGAACTGAATATCCCGGTACCAATCTTCAAAACTCCTGGTTGGTTGTTAGTGATTCCAGACGCGTCAACCAATTGATGCCATTAGTAGTCCCGTAAGTGTAGTGCTTGTGTAATTACTCTGGAGGCGATTTTCCACTGCTGGCGGTGATTTCTTCCCACTGGATGGCGAGATCCGGCGCCGACCTACCGTCAGCTGGCGGGATTTCCCTATACCCAAGCAGCGGGACACCGCTTCAGGCGGGACAAGCTCTAGGCTCCCCACCGGTCTCCCGGCAAATGCGGTAGTGTAGTGCATGTTAGTGTGTGTGTGTGTGTGTGTGTGTGTGTAAGGGGTGAGTATAAGACAAGGACGAGGAAGGAAATATCGCGCGCGGTCCATGGTTTGTTTGTTACGGAACTGCTCCGGCATTCGTTTGATGTTGATAGGAGAAAAAACGGAAAACTTCCGATCAGAGCAGCCGGTCTCTAGAATTCTCCTGCAGATAGCGACGAAATTCGACCTAGCTGACACGTTAGTGTCAAAAATCTTGCCACTGTCGGGACTGGAACCCACGATCTCTCAGTTAGATGCACTGAGCTCCTGGTCAAAAATCCTGGGGCTTTCACTAAAATTCCTGGTACAACTATCCACTGATTTAAAATCTGAAATTGTTAATATTATAACTATTATGTTGTTATCCTGCAGAGGAAGTTTGTTAAACTTAAGTCGATACAGTTTCATTTTATACCGATAAGCTAAATGGAAGAAATGAAACTTTCTAATCTATCTCAACAGAAAAAAACCATACCATGACACCCTAATGTTTTACGGCAGTGTTTTCACTAATATCATAGTTATTTGTAATATTGGTAAAAGTTTTAAATTATTGAATAAAAAATATTAAACGAATCTTACAATTGTACAATATCAATGACCGTTGATTTAAAATCCTGGTATTTAAGAATACCAGAATGTTTTCATCCTGGTACTTCGTATCTTCATTAAAATTCTGGTAAAAATACCAGAATCCTGGCACATTCAGCAACACTTCCGTGGACCCAAGACGACAATGCGCGAACAGCATAAAGTACTGTCTGTAAAGGCCGTCAGTAATGAGTTGAGGAATGATACTATGACTTTCATAAACCAAAAAAATAGGATTCAATCACGAGCAGAAAATACTAAATACGTATTGTCTTCCTTAGGACTTGTAAGAGAACATTTGAATGTGCCAAAGAAATTTTCTGACAATTGTCGCCCAACTTTGCAAATATATCCTGAGATTAAAATTATCACGGGGAACGTATACACACGACTGAAATTGTTTATGTGACACTGGCGGCAATTAAAGATTATTATTATTATTATTATTATTATTATTATTATTATTATTATTATTATTATTATTATTATTATTATTATATTCTTTCCAGTCTCTCGCTTAACGTGGTGTCCTACAATAGACGCTGGGACCTTTGGAGAACCAAGGTGCCTGCTTCGCTTGCAAACTCGGGCGGTCAGGATTCAACGTGAGGTTATATCAATAAAAATGTCCTGCCGATGCGTGCAGTACTCAAGAGAACAGCCTTTGGCATTGATTGAATGTGCCAGTTTTTAACGCCAAGACTTGTAGACAATGAATTCAGTTCTTTAGAGATCAGTCCATTTGCATAGATGACCACAGGGACTACTCAACAGTTACTAACCGCCACATTACAGTCAGTTCAATAGCTAAGGCCTGATATTTTCGCTTCCTCTCGGCAATAGAGGCAACTATATTTCGGTCTAAAGGGACAGCTATGTCGACTATAA